GGAGCAGGCCTAAGCCAGCAGGTCGTTATCTCCTGAGGGGTCCCAGACTGCGAGAGGGGCAGGCCGGGCTGAAGGACCCCCCCTCCCCCCCCACCGAGTGCACAAATTTTTGTGCAGCGGGCCTCTAGTATATATATAAAAGGCTAAGTTGACTCGTGATATGATGTGCGATACATATAAAGCTCTTGCTGGCGCCGATCGCCCACATGTGTTTCAATCTGTCAGTGTCAATCATGAATTTGGTTGACACTTCTATTATAGAGAAAGGGTGAATAGTGATATTAAAATATTTCTTCTAATTAATTTCCTTTCAATGTGCATGAATTCGTGCACCAGGCCACTAGTTTTATTATAAACAGAGGCTGGGATTTTCAATGCATTTCAAACTACTGTGGGAAAGGATCTCAGATTCTTTCTCTTCCCTCTCCCAAACAGGATTAGCTCTAAAAAATTAGCAGATAATTACTGCTTTGTTCTAAAGTCATCTATAATCCATTTTACCTATGATAGCAGGGTAAACTGAACACATGTTTAAAATACAAAATATTTTGTGTATGTAATAGAATAAAAAGGCAATATGCCTATGCATACTTATGTGATATAGGGCAAAATTTTAGCTTACACAAAAAATTTATTTTGTATAGCTTTTTTACTTTCCATATGCTTATGACAATGAAATATTTATCAATAATTTAATTATTGTTTACCAAAATGCAAATACTAAAACGGCATTTTATCAATAAGTGGATTTAGCGCACTGTCACGGAAAAATTAATTCATTGAAAAAGAAATGATTTGTATTAATTTTTAACTACTGCAGATTTTCTGGACTCTAACCTCTAGATGGCAGTAAACTGAATTAGCCAGAAAGTACTTAGGTTTCTGTTTTAAAATTTGGTCTGTGGGGGCCTCTGGGACTACTCTTCTAGATTACTAATGAAACCACTATTTTCTTGAAGAATGCTGTCTTTTGACAATTTTGTGTCTGGTATTGTTCCAAAAATAAACTGGAGAGTTTTAAATAACTACAACTTTTCAATATCACCTATAATAATGCATTAAGCATTTTCCAATGAATGAAAAGTGTATTTTTATAGCTCACTATACTCTGAGCAAGCTAGAGGGAGTGACCACTTATGAGAATGAATCAGATCCTCCTAGAAGAATACCCTGATTATAGAAAGCCTGTCAGACATCATCTGTAATTTCCTTTTCTGGCATATATCTTCACAAGGGCAAGGCATACTTGAGAATAACAACTCATTTTTGTTTTTTATTTTTAACTACTTACTGCATACAATTATTTAAGATATAAATATCAGAATCATGTGATAGAAATTTGTTGCCATGCCTTAATTTCATGGACTCTGAAACTTTAAAAATTAAATTCAGATTCAGGGTTAGTAATTATAAAGCTGTGATTTAAAGATACTTTAACATATATGCTAATTTAAGTGACTAGTGAAAACTTCATGTATATTTATATATTTATACTCACCAGCACACAGATTTCCTTGGTGATATGGACAAGAGAAATCATCCTTTTCACAGTATTTTCCATATACTTTTCCAAGCTTAGTTTTATGACACAAACATTTCCCACAAATACAAACTCCTCGACCGCTGCAAAAAGGTTGATCCTTGTGTGACTTGCAACTCTCAGAAGGGACTTGATCTTCATCAAAATGACATTTATCCTCATCACACTGGAAACACTTGGAGTCTAGTAAAGTTTCATCTACACACTTTCTTTTAGGTCCTCTGATTTCATCACATTGACAGCTGCAGTTTCTGTGTATATGAATTTTAGTGGTTTCATTGAAACCAATAGGTTTGATTATTGCATAGCTTTTTCCTCCTGTGACATCACATTTTTTCATTGTAACTGTTACATTGAAAAGAACCTAAATTTGGGGTAGGGGAAGAGAAAAATATATGTTTTGATTATTTTTATTACCTATATCTGTTAATCGTATTTTAATCAACATTCCATCTTACAGAAATTAATATTTATAAATTGCACATGCACTCTTTCATAGATAGATGTAACATCCCTCTTTAATTTTACTTGTTTCCTAATTAATGAACTAGAGAGTTAAAGAATGCATTGACTGCTACTTTCTCTGATTTAGTCAAGGAAAAAATATCCAGGACTCTTACTCTCAGTACTTCAGATATCAATGCATGTTCATACATTTGTCTTAGTGGAGAGGTTAGTCCATAACGAAGAATCTGGGCTGGGAGATATTGGTTCCCTTATGAAACTACAGAATTTCTTTCTCTTGCCAAATTTTTCCTTTTTATCTACTTTTATTTTTTGCACACAATTGGTTTTATGTGTCTATTTATATTTGTTAACCCACCTTATGATCTAAGGTACTTTGACAAATAAGATTATATGGTTTTTTCCATGTTAGACTGAAATCTGTTATAATTTAAAAATAATCTGTACTAGACTTTTTGTTTGGAATAGAGATAAATAGTTATAAAGATAAATATAGGTAGATGGGTATCTATCTATCTATCTATCTATCTATAGATATTTCTATATATCCCAAACAAAAAGCCTAGCACAAATATATATGATACTATGAAATATCTAAATTTAGGCTTATATATTATATATATGCATTAGAAATCAGAATCAGTCTCATAACATTAAAATCAATGCAGTTGGTGCTGTATTTGACAAATTTTTTGTCTTTAAGAATGTTAAGGATTAATAGATATGTGCAATAATATAGTCACTGCCAGTATTAATAATAGAGCAAAATGTAGGGTTTATTTAATTAAGAGGTCATATAACTCTTCCTAAGAGTCAAACTGTTTGTATTGCTTACTGAAAGTGAGGAGAACGAAGGTATGTAGACAAAGAAAAAAAAAAGAAAAATGTAAAAAATAAGGAAAAACAGTTTGCCAAAGCTGTTTTTGAAAGAAGATAACCCTTTCTCAGAAAGTAACAGTGCTATCTTTTGTTAGCATAAAGTTTTCTCTATATTTAATGGAAATCAAATATGTATTTTATAAATTGGCATATAATTTTTTAATGAAAATCCAAAGAATGATTATGGGGGAACCTACAGAACTCGAAACTAGCAATAATTAATTTTAAATATATAACTTGTTGGAACAACTATACTGCCTTCAGATTCTAAATTTACCGAGAGGAAAAAATATATTCACACTAAAGAGAAAGGAAGATTCTCTTTTATTCAATCTTAGGATCTTAGGACTTTCTATCTCTTTGAATAACTCTTACTCTTTTTCTCTATATAATGGCATTAAAATAATTAATAACATCATACAGCATTAGAAATGGAAGCAAAGCGAATTATAAATCTCCTAGTCCAAGCTATTCATTTAAATATGAGGCAACTGATGGCTCAAGAAGTAAATGACTCACTGGAAATCACTTCATCCAAGAATAATTCCCTTCAAAAGCATGTTTTGGTGTGTTTACTCTCTATTGTGCTGGTCACTGGAGAATCTCTATCTCCTCTGGTCCTGTTTCCTGATGCTACCTTAATCTGGGCCTCTCTTTTCTACATTTCATCCTTTCTTAGTTAAATGATGACACTTCTTTTTTATTGTTCTAACAAATTTCCCTACCTCCTCCTAGATCATATGAGTGTACTAGAGGCCCGATGCATGAAAATTCGTGCAAGAGTAGGCCTTCCTTCCCCTGGCTGCCTGCACCGGCTTTCCTCCAGCACCCGGGACCCGGGCTGGCTTCGCCCTGGCCCTGGCTTTGTCAGGAAGGACATCGGAATGATGTCTGGTCTAATTAGCATATTACCCTTTTATTATTATATCACAAAATGAAATAATCACAATAACAAAGTGAAAGATTTTGGAATTCTTAGTCTTTATCAACTGCTCCATAACTCCCATTCTTTTCTGTGGCTTATTCACCTTCAGTTTCACATTTGCTCTGAGAATTTTCAGATTTGAAACCAAAAAAAATATTGTCATCATCATAAGTGCAGACACTAATGTGAGGAGCTGTGATTTCCCAATATTTAATGACTGTTACACCTAGATTTAAAGATACTATCATTGAATAAGTATTTAATATAATATATACTAAACTTGAGAGTTTGAGAGAACAGTCAATGAAGTTAAAACAGTAGGAACTTTGCAAAGAGACAATAAAAGTTACTTTGAAGTCTAAATAAGATCCTTGGGGTCAGAGGTAAGTAAGTTTTCAGGATGTTTTGATTTTCTGTGAGGAAGCATACCAAACAGCTTAGTTTACTTGAAATAGGGAAAACGCGCACCCACATACTTCATCATTGCTCGTTACGTTTCTGCATCCTTCTGTGCCTCGCCTTCTGGTCCCATCTGGACAGATCGCGGTGATGTTTAAATAGATGCCTTTTACCTGGTTTTCCACCTGAACTTTCACTTCTGAAATAAGTTTCTGCAGAGACATCATTTTTAAATTTTATACTATAGCATTATCAAATGTAAGCAACTAACAGTTTTATTGTAATTCTAGATTTAACTTAAGATTCTGTCTCTATTAAAGGATGAATAAAAACATAATTTCCACATAATAACCCAATTATATTTGAAATATGTAAGAAATACTGAAGATTAAACTATCTGCATTTAATTGCTCTATTTTAAATATATTTCCATGCATTTTTTGCATTTTGATAACTTCAAAGATAAATCTTACTCAGCCTGTTACAAAAATAATCATTTAATCCAATAATATTTATATTATGTAATAAAATTTAAATAAAACATTGAGAACACATACCATCAAAGAGGGTAAATCTTGACAGCTTAAAATCTGAAACATGCTTCTGACCTTTACAACTGTTCAAGAAACATTTCAGTTTCAAATACTTGAGATTATCATGAGGGCTAAAATGCCTTATTAATACAAAATTGAAAGGAAATTTTTGGGAGGCAATTTCTATACAATAGGCAAAAGAATTACCTTCCCAATATGGTCCTATATTAGTAAGTTCTCCATGAATGGCCTAGGATTTTTGCCAAGTTCCTGAGGCTTGCTTGTGCCAATCAAATCTGTTCCAATTCCTAATACTGAACTAGATCCCCTTACTGAGCAGAAAAACCATCCACTTATTTGTGCAAACTTTGAAAAATCATTTATGTAATGCCATTTATGTAAATGTATCAAGCACACACTAATTTCTTCCATTACAATCTCTGAGTTCCAAAAATTCTAACTACATTAAATATATACTATAGATCTGTATGTATTTTCATTTTATAAAACTAAGAGTCTACACATGCTAAAAACCTTAACATATACTTGTAAACAAAAGGAAGGAAAAAGATGACGTATAGACCTAAGGAAAGAGAGTGAGTGGATGGATATGAAGAAAATAAAATAATTTCTACTGTCTTCTAATTCTTTTACTTGAGTAATTTTTCTTCAATTGTATAATCAATAAAAACATGTATACTAATTACAATTAATCATGGAATTATGGTAGTAACTCTTTAAAACAAGATACTTCCTCAAATTAGTAAATTTTATTTTGGGTTAGGTAAGACTATATTAGCCACATTTTTTATCTCCCAAAGAGCTCATTCATTATAATCACTTAATTGAACAATTTTGGCAAACCAAAACTTTTAATGGTATACAAATAGGGTTGATATGGTGATGATTTGAGAGGTCAGAAGGAAATTCCTCATATTCTGAGTGCCCTTCTGAAATTCTGCGTATCTTATAACCTTGAACTAGTTATACCAATGTTTTCAAGCAGGGTGTTGAAGACAAATATCTAAAGTGTTGATCACTTTTGGCATTTAGAAGTTAAGCTCCAGACACAGGCTTAAGCTTCACTTTTAATGACTAAAAGGTACAGAGGTAGAATCTATTTTTTGTAATGTATAATTGTTTTATTCAATATATTTTCCCTTAATTTCAGCTAAATTACTATTGTTTTTAGAGTTATGATTTTTATGTCATTTTAATTCTACTGGTGGTGTTGATGTAAAAGATAAAAAAAGTAAAATGTAATTACATTCACCATGTACTAAATGTGTATGTACTTTTATAAAATTCTTAAAAATGAAGTGCAAAAAGTGAAAGGTTAGAATGAAAATATTTTTATTCTTTTTTCCATCAATGAATTGTGAGTTGTTTCTGTTGGACTGTGAAAACAAAATGAAATTTCAGAAGAATTTTGAAAATATAGATATATAAAACAATAACAGAATTTCAACTTAAGGAGATTACTTAGCCAGAGTAAGTTTTTGTTAGATTTACTAGTATTTTTCATTGTTTAAGGTTAATCAGAACTGCAATTAGCTTAAGGCTTCACATACATACCCTAGGCAAATAAGAAACCTAAAACCAAATGCTGCTGTTTCCATTTCATTGGTGCAGCCTGATACCAAGGCAAGTCTGTCAATTTATATTAGTTGTTTGAGGTAATAAGTGGGTTCATATTATAAAAACTAGGGTGGCTTCTAATACTGTGAACTCCTTCCTTATTTTGATTATTCTTGAGAACAAACTATGGATGGGAATGAATTGTACACACAGTTGATTTTCTTTGATAAGAAGCTCCGCCAGTCCTAATGTTCGTTTGTAACAGTGAGAAAGAAATAGAATTAAAAATACACTTCCTTACTTCATTCAATGTATTTTCAGATATACAAACAGCTTTTTGGTAAAAAAAAAAAAATCTCACAGGATTTATTTTCCTTTAAAAACTTTTTTCACAAGATTAATTTTTCTTTTTTTAAAAAAGGAAGTTTAAACAAGTCCTTCATTTTCTATCCTGTGTCTACTTTCTGTCTTTCCCATCTGTACCCAAGTTGAAGGCAGATGTTGCATGGAGAAAATGAGTAGAGAAGCCTGGGATTTCTCACAATGCTTGGGCTACTATTTCTGCTATTCAACTCTACTGTGTCAGAAAGGGAATCAGAGAAATTTGGGAAGTGAGACTTTATTAGTTGTCCATGAATTTAAGGTATAATCAAGCATGTCTTTGGACGCTATGTAAAATTAAAACAAAAGAACACAAAACAAAATGGGTGGCATCACTTGGGGTCTGGGGTTAAGGAAGACCTGGATTCTATTCCTGCTTCTTCTGCTTGTTAGTTGTCTGACCTTTGCTTAGCTTCTTTGGGGGTCTACAAATGCGTAATGGGAATACTAATCCCTGCCTTATATGTCAGGTGTGCAGATTAAATGAGGTCACATGTGGAAAGTAACAGGTTCTTAGTGGAATTAAAGTAACAGTCACTATTATAACAACATCCTAACAGAAAATTCTTTACAGGAATGACAAAGGTTGAAAGAGCAGATGTTTCTTTATATCTTGGCATTTGGCATTTACTCTTCACAGCCTGGGGACAGCATACAACATTCAATAAAATAGAATATCTCTTAAGGTGATTCTTTTGCTCAAACTAGTTTTATAAGACTGCTAAAATAACTGATTGGACAATCAAGTGATTGATCTAGGAAACCCTCTTAGTAATCTCTATATCCCAAGTTTTCATTTTATCCGACAGGTTGCCACTTTAAATACCAGTATGGATTTTTTACTTTATCTTTATGATATAGGAAGTTGTGAAATATCTTGGTAATAAAGTGTGTTCTATAGTCCTGATTTGCTGACTCACTGAATGTTTGATTTGGAAAGAAATTTAGATTTCCTGCAGCCCAACCTGGATTTATTGTCAGTGAGACACACTGAGGCACATAAGGCTGAAGTGACTTTCCCCCAAGGTTCCATGGCTCGTCAGTGGGAGAGCCAGGACTGAATTAGGTTCTCAATTCTAAATGTAATGTTCTTCCTACCACGGCTTTCAAGATGATATGGCACTAGTTTGTACCTTGTCATAGAAACTGGGGTTAAAAATTATTTGGAATATATATGTACATACCTGATAGGCTTCTACTACCAAATTATTAAGGTTTGCAGCCTTGGATTCTATTTCACCAGCAATGGTACCAGGCAAGAGGGGTAGAAGGTCCTAGAACATATACCAATAAAATTTATTAATGGCAATTAATAAATGGTTTAGCAATGGTTTAGCAGTCAACAAGTATAAAAATTCTTGTAGTTACCAGTGAGCAGTGACATTACATGAGTCAAAAAATATGATAAAAGAAAATGGTGTGTATATGTGTATATGCAAGAGTGTGTATGCATGTACAAATTACATGCTGACCTAAAACCCAATCAAAGTACAGGCCAGCATTTCTCAAAGTATATTCCATGGAACATAGTATCAAGAGATTTTAAACATGAAAGGGTCCTAAGAGAAAGTAAGTTTGCCAAGTTCTACACATGGTTTCTTTCACTTAGAGACTCAAAATGTACATTTGCAAATTAAAGGTTCAGAGAAGTCCTGCAATTCAGAAATGATTTAGCATTATTTAGTGCAGCATTTCCTACCATTTCTTTTAAAAAATATATATTTTTTGATTTAAGAGAGGAATGGAGAGGGAGAGAGAGAAACAGAAATATCAATGATGAGAAAAAAATCACCGATCAGCTGCCTTTACATGCCCCCTTCAGGGGATCAAGCCCTCAACCCGGGCATGTGCCCTGACCAGGAATCGAACTGTGACCTTCTGATTCATAGGTTGACATTCAACCTCTGAGCCACACCAGCTGGGCTCCCACCATTTCTTTAATTACAAAATTCTTTTGTTATGTAACATATATAAACATTTTGTAGAATGTTTCATGGAATGAACTTTATCACGTGTTGGCCCAGACTGGAGAAAAAAATAATAGTTACAAGTGGAAGCTTCATGTGGTAGGTGTTCTTGATGGATCTTTTTAATTACTGAATAATTATGGAGAAGACTCTAGGTCAGCCGTGGGCAAACTACGGCCCGCGGGCCGGATCCGGCCCGTTTGAAATGAATAAAACTAAAAAAAAAAGACTGTACCCTTTTATGTAATGATGTTTACTTTGAATTTATATTAGTTCACACAAACACTCCATCCATGCTTTTGTTCCGGCCCTCCGGTCCAGTTTAAGAACCCATTGTGGCCCTTGAGTCAAAAAGTTTGCCCACCCCTGCTCTAGGTATTCCTGGTGAGAAAGCAAAGCCTTAAGGGTTTATCTGAATTATAGATAAAATAAGAACATAGAAGAAACCAGTCTGATTAGAGTGAAGGATGCATAACTAACCTACAAGGAATCAGATTATGGAAAGTCTTGAAATCCATTTATACACTAATTTTTGTCATTCATAAGTATTAAGTTCCTGCTTTATGCCAGCCACTACGTAGACACTAACAACTTGGAATTGTAGGTAATAGGGAAAATGTATTACCTGTACATTTTTAAAATCCATTTGTAAAACCTTTGTTGAGCACCTATTGTGTACCACTTTGGAAACGCTAAATTGCTAGGCCACTTACTTTCCATTCTTAAGGATCCCACTGGTACATAAATAACAACTTCACAAAACAATGTCCACATGAAGCAAAAGAAGGAATGCACAGACCCTAATGGGAGGGATATCCAGGAAGCATTTGAGGGTTGCGGAAGGTTGTCAGGGACTGCTTCCTGGAGGAGGTGACACATGAACTGTGTCTTAAAGGATGAGTAAGATTTAGTCAAGTAACAAGGGAGAAGGGCTTCCAGGCATGGTGGGTGCATGGCAAGAACATTGGCACAAATGACAGATAGAGCTTGGTGAATGGTGTGCACAGGAAAATTAGAAGCATGGCTGGAGGGACAGATGTAAGACAAAAATAGTAGGGGATGAGTCCAGAGAGGCAAGCAGGGACCAGATGGTCTCTTATGCTACATTAAAGAATTGTTCCTTTATATCAGAGGGAATCCTGAGAATATTTTACCTTAGGGAGCACTTTGGTCACACTTGTGATTTAAATAAATATAATTTGTGTTCCCTCATCTTTACAATTGGGCATATTATTTATATTACCCTCATTATTAAGAGTTGTTAAGAATATTAAATGAATTAATAAACTTGGTGCCTGACAATAAGAAGTATTCAATAAATGGAAGCTGTTACTGTCATTAATAAAGTGGTTTGGGCATTGGATTTGGGCAAGAGTCCTACTTCTGTGGATGTTAATGGTTGTTACATTAAAAGGGGGGTCAGGTATATACATTTGGGAAAATAGTGAATTAAATGAAGTTTCACTATAGATTTCTAAGGAAAGAAGTATGATTAAAGTAGTGCTTTCAGATGGTCAATATGATAAGTAGCCAAGTATTATGGAAGCAAACGGAGGGACACCAGCTTCAGGCAAATGGAAATGGGTTCAAGTATATATTGAAGACAAATTAAAATGTAGTTTATCTGAAGTATTAAAAAAATAAGTAAAAGGCATCAAGAGTAAGGAAGCACAAGGATGACAAAGGAGATGAAGGAAATCCAAGAACAGACATGTGCAATGAAAATTAGGGTGTAACAGCATCATAGAAATGAAGAAAAAAAAGGGTTTCTTGGAAGAAAGAATCTAAGACTGCAAAAAGCAAGCTATAGTAGGGTACAGAAGAATAGTGTTGGTGGAGGGAGATGATGGTTCCGTGATGCTGCCAGAATGACATAGCTGCCAAATGTCTATTCTGCTTGTGGGTCTCTCCTAGCCAGAAGGATTCTGGACAAGAATATTTTTATGTGGGAAGGCTCTGGCTGGTCAGCCACTTCCATGGCTCCTCTTGTTCTTTTTTTTTTTTTTTTGGATGACCTTGACCAAATCTAGGTAAGCTGTTGCTATTGACAAGCTGATATTCCCCAACATAATCCTATATAATAAAAGCCTAATATGCTAAGTGTCCCGTCGTCTGGTTGGCCGTTCAACCAATCAAAGTATAATATGCTAATGATATCCTAAGGCTGCTCAACTGCTCGCTGTGATGTGCACTGACCACCAGGGGACAGATGCTCTGATTGGTAGGTTAGCTTGCTGCTGGGGTCCAGTAGATCGGGACTGAGTGAGACGGGCCGGACATGCCCTGGAGCCCTCCCACAGTCCCTCCCCGGCTGGCCAACCTCCCACATCTCTCCCTGGCCCTGATCATGCACCAGTGGGGGCCGTTGGCCTAGCCTGTGCCCTCTTGCAATCTGGGACCCCTCAGGGGATGTCGGGGAGCCGGTTTTGGCCTGATCCCGCAGGCCAGGCCAACAGACCCCACTGGTGCATGAATTCGTGCACTGGGCCTCTAGTCTGTTATAAAGAACTAGCACATAAGCAGGACTCTAGATGTAAAAGGTGTAGTTGGAGTGTGAACTATTTTTACATTATTGTCACAGTTAGTACCACACTAAGTATCCGTGCCCACACTTGATGCTAGCTGCTATCGAGAAAATATATACTTCATGCTAACTTAAGACACTGTGTAGTATACATTAGTTAATACAGTATTCAATTTAGATTATACAAAGTACAGTAACTCTATAATTTTTACCTGGGGTTTGAAGAAGTATTCTAGTTTCAACTACCAAAGCAAACATTTTAATTTTTGTATTTGGGAATGAACATACCTTATACCAATGGAACTGTTTTCCTTGAACTGCAAAGATGACATTAATGTTGTTTTCTATTAACTTTTCTGAGAGTTGGCCTAGCGAGGGATGTTCCTGTTAATGGACAATGAAATAAAGAAGGGAGTGAACTTTAGTAGCTTGATCCCACACATATCCAAACATTTCTTAGGAGGGAAACCACATGACTGACATAAAAACGTGTTTTGTTGGGAAGGGTTATGGTTTTACTGGAGACATTTAAATTGTTTAAGGAAATAAGATCAACATCAATGTATTAAAGAATATTTTATAGACAAAAGCTCCATGAAAGCTTATAGCATTTATCTAATGAAAAGGGATGAATTCAACATAGTACACAAAGTATTAAGTGCCTCTTTAGATTAACATTGTGATCAAAGTGATATAACTGAAAGATAATTTAATACTCAGACAGATATATTAGTGACAATCACATTCTGAAGCAAAATTCAATAAAAAGTGTTTAAATGCAAATATGTGCATATGCATACACATATATACACACATACATATTAGTATATATATATTTGATATATATGATATAGTACAAACTCTGCTTAAAAGCAGAAAACCCTGTACTCAAATTCCAAGTTGTCACTTTATGATAAAAGTTCTATCTCAGGTCCATCCTCTCTAACATGTGAATGGTATCTGATTCCATTATTGCTGGCAAGATGAAAAAGATAACAATAGTATGTGAACTATTTAGTGCAGCTTCTTTCATAGAGTAGGTACTCAAACTAATAGCAATTATCATTATTTTACTTCCCTCTATAGTTTACAGATCTCTCAACGTATTATTCTACTTAACCTTTTTGTCATATATATATTATAAATATGTTTTACTTTGATAAATAAAACTTACATAGAGCCAACTGTGACATTCTTTGTAGTAGTGAGAAAGCTTGGGATGAGTAGAAGGGGAATAAAATTTATTTTAGTATATATGAGAAATCTGACAATTTCCCTTTCATGGAAATTGGTACATCTAGTGATATTGTTAGATATTGTAGTTGATATTTTTTCTTTCTGTAAATGCTCTTCTAGAAATTAAACTCATAATCTCAAATAACAACTTCATACCACACACCTCTCAGAGAGGTGATGTCAAACTTTACCTGCAGTGGTCCCCAGTGCAAAGTTACATTAGCCACAGATCATGTGACTGAGCCTAATTAGTATCATGTGGCTCAAGTTCAAATTACTATGTAGTTTTTATTCCCCCTTTTAGCCTCCAATTCTAATTGTGTTTGTTTAAGGGAAACTTTTGTTAAACCATCTTGGTTAACATTTCTGTATTTTGGCAAATAAGTGAAATTAGTAAAAAACTAATTTTATTAATTTTGCTTATAGTCTAAGTTCTGTGACCCATATATTAAATGTATATACAAAGACATAGAAGATAGCCTTGTGCTTAAAATACTATCACTAACATGAGTAACTGCTATGATCTGAATATTTGTGTCTCCCTCCCCAAATTCATGTCTTGAAATCCTAACCCTCAAGGTGATGGTATTAGGAGGAGGGCCTTTGGGATATGATTATGTCATGAAGGTGGAGCCCTCATGAATGGATTAGTTCCTTTATAAAAGAGGGCCAGTAGGAAAAGCTCCCTTGCCCTTTTCACCATGTGAGGTTACAGCTAGAAGTGTCGCCTATGAAACAGATAGTAGACTCTCAGGAGACTCTGAATCTGCCAGTGCCTTGTTCCTGGACTACCCACTCCCCAGAACTGTAACATTTATGTTGTTAGTAAGCCCCCCAGTTTATGGGTTTTTTTTACAGCAGTCCAAATGGACTAAGATAATAATCATAAAAAATATGCTTTTTTTGGTATATAATTTATAATTGCTGTGGTAGAAGCAAATCAAATTTTCATGAACTGCATTTAAATGTGATATGAAGCCAATTCATGAAGAAGTTGAAAAAGTATTAGCACATGGATTTCCATAAGAAAAATTTTGCCCAGAGCAATTCGTAAAATATAAGTTGAAAGTAATGGAAAAATAATTCCTCAAATATAAATTCTACCAGATAAATTCTTATTCCTTGTTCCTAATAATATATACACTCTTAAAATAAATGCATGACAGTTTGCATAATGCTAGTAAATTAAAGAGAACAAGTAAAGGAAAGGCAAGTCTAGCTGTATTGGGAGTATTTCTAAATGGCAGCAACTACTTTTCAAATATTTTTGCTTTGACAAAAAAAATAATAACAATTTTCCAAGCATTCCCCCTTCTTAATTTTTAAAACCATTCATATTTTAAGGAAAATTAAATCCATATGTTTTTAAACTAGCTTATACTAAACTCACAGTCCAAGATATAAGCAGCTTTTGAAGCCTTCTTAATCTCTTTCCCCTTCCAAAAACAAGAAGTCATGTTGACCAAAAGTACACAAAATTTAAATCTAGAAAGTTCTAGTTTGGTCAAAAGCTCATTAAAAAAAAAAAGGTCAGCTGGACTTTTAAGCTTAAAAGAACACATTTATTTTGAACCCTAAAAATAAATCTATTTTAAAAGAAAATTCCAAGTACCTTGATGCAGGTTTGTTAAAATTACAAATGTTTAACAGATGTTTAAATAAACCACTGTTGACAGGAGAGTTGTGGATTAATGGCCATCGTTGAAACCCCTTCCCCTTTCCTCCATGAAGCACATTATCTTTTAAGTATTTTATCTTTTATGTCTAGTATTTCACTAGCAGGAACACTCCCTCTCAGCCAGCTGTTGTGGTGACGTCACTGCTCCTCTTTAACTCCCCCTTTGTCTAACCCATCACACATTGTTTCTCTAAACTCTGAAAATAATTAATAGTGATAACAGGCATTCCTGGAAGAAGGGAAAGCAGTGTGCCAAGACAGCTGCAATGTAATTAAGGGCAAAAGGATTCTTTCACATTTTTCTTCTTCACCAACACCTTCACTGTGACTTGTGGGAAATGACTTTAAAATGTCAGAGGGAAGAGGAGGTAAGAAAGATGTGTTGAAAGCAATTTTGGTTAAAGAGATAACTGTGTCGTGATGTATGGGAGAATTTCTTAAATATATTTTTATTGATTTCAGAGAGGAAAGGAGAGGGAGAGAGAGACAGAAACATCAATGATGAGAGGCCTCCTCCTGGCCACCCCCTACTAGGGATCGAGCCCACAACCCAGGCATGTGCCCTGACAGGAAATTGAACCATGACCTCCTGATTCATAGATTGATGCTCAGCCACTGAGCCATGCTGGCCAGGCTATGGGAGGATTTTAATATGTGCATGTGTAGTGGCAAAAAAAGAAAAAGAAAAAAAACTGTTTAAGATTCTCTTCATAAAAGTGAGAATCATAAAAACATTTTGTAAAATAATATAGGATTTGTAGTATTGAATATCATGATATCCCCCTCCCCCAAGCCCCAATGCCCTCGTTAAAGTTCTCAATCACCTGGACTATTTTTTACAGTTTACCTTTTTGGAGGAAAGAGACAAATAATATGAAAGCAATCTTACAACAGAGATTTATTTGGAGATGAAGACTTTACATTATGTGTCTTCAGCCTATTTTCTATGTACATGTCTACACAGTAAAATTCATAGACCAGGGTTTCTCATCAGTGACACTATCGACATTCACGAGCCAGGTGTTGTGTTTGGTTGGAGGTCTGTCCTGTGTGGTGGAGGAGATTTAGCAACATCTGTGGCCTCTATTTACTAGATGCTAATTCCGCCCACCTCTCCCAGTTGTAACAGGCAAAATGTCTCTGGACATTGAGATGTCCTCTGGTGGACAAAATTGCTCCAGTTGAGAACCATACCATGAGCAGGATCTCTGAAAACAGACAATTTGGAACCTCAACTCCTGCTTCTGCAATTACTAGCTATGTAACACTGGCTAGCTGTCTTAACCTCTCTGTGATTCAGTTTCCTTATGTATAAAAGAGGTATAAATACTCATATCTACTTCTCAGAGTTATGATGGAAATTAAACGTGTTACCATGTGTAAAGGCTTTTACTTACCATTCTCTAATTATTAAGCTTGCATTAGCGGTCAGTAGCAGCTCATGTCCTGATGTCACACTGCTTGGCATTTACCATAGGCAATACTGATTAGGGCTGGGCTGTCTGACCACAAGCAAGTTCCTGATCCTTTTACTGTTTCCATTTTCCTATTTATAAAATGGAGGTGATAGCAATATCTGAACCTCACTGAGTTGTTGGGTGGTGGTGTGTAAATGTAAGGGACAAACACCACACAACGACTGCCTAATAAAAAACAGCCTTCACTCAAAAACTTAATGAAACACATTTTGATGCCATTACTAAAGGCTAGATATTGGGCTCTTGGGTATGCTTTGTTTGACTTGTCTGATTTATGTACCCTTGGAAACTGGCCCCTGAAGCGTTTGAGTTTGTGGCTCCTGCCTGACCCAGTATCAATTGTAATCATGATGTCTTAGTTACTGAAGTGAGGGACATGGACTAATAATTTTTGTATGCTTGTCAATCAATGAGAGTGGTAATAAAATGGTTTGTGCTTAAATGTGAACTGAAACATAATTTAATTGGAACACTGCAATTCATAAATATTTTCATCAAATTTTGTTTTCATTGTGTCACTGAGGCAAACCATTATTTTTTTCTCATTACCAGAGCCATTATAAAAGCAGTGCTAGTGTAAGCCTGGCCCATTTTATTCTGTGTGCAACTTTTGCTTTCAATTTAAAAGAAAAAATAAACTAGATATTTTTTGCAGAGATCATTTCCTGGTTACTTACTGCTAGTATGAGAAGCATTCAAAATTAGGTCTGTTCTGAAGTTACTGAAGTCATTATTCTCACGACATTTACGATTTAAAGCAGATAGTTCAGAGAGCAATCAGCTGATAACAGACATGTTGTTAGTTTTAAAAGTTGTAACAATATTTAAAAAAACCTACTGCACATGGACTTACTAGTAAAACTCTTTTGGGGCATTCTACCCAGGGACAGTTCCTTTACTTTCCTGATTGTTCATGTTCATAACGCCCAAAAGTGCTAACACTGTAAACTGATCTTATCTCTCTACTTAATTTAAAAAGTTACATTTTTATGCAATGTTAAGTAGAGATAAATAAAATAGGAATCATGAAGTAAGGTGAACATTTTTATTATATACTTTAGTTTGGCCATATTAGAAATACTGTTCTTATTATTATTCTGAGACTAAATAGATTATACAAATTCCTGTTGTCATAAAAGCCCTAATACTTTGTAAAATTCCACCAGAGTTATAATTTATTTCCACAAGGTTATATGGCATGGCATATGTCTAAAATTATGAGGACATTTCCTTGCCTTAAGGAATCCTTCCTAGATGAGCAACAGCACCCTCTAAAATGCAATTATGGAGAGATGACTTCAGTGACTTGGCAAGACTTCAAAAGAATAATGCATGGCAATTTGAGAATAATGTGATCATTGTTTTTATTTTTAAGAAAAGCTTCTCCTTGTTTCACAATAGAATAATTCCTCTTGTCTTTTCCACTCCCAAGAAAATAAATTGAAATTCCATCTCAGATTAAAAGAGGTTAACTAGAAGAAAGGAAAGATAAGAAATGACTAAATTGAAATGGATGGGTCAACCAAAGTGAAATGTGGCTGAGTAGAAGAGAATTACCAAAGGGAAAGACAGCTGAAATAACTCCAAACCCTACATTTTTAAATTCAAATTCTAGTTAACTTTTAAAATCTTTAAAATTTGAGGCTGCCTTCAAGAGACTAAACCAACCAAGGGTTGAACCTGTTTTATGCCGTAGTACAATTGCTCCTCTAGACTTTCAATAAGTCTGGTAGGGTGTTCCACATTAACTAAATTTAAACAATTTAAATTTTACTCATGGGAACCACACACTTTCCAGCATAATTTATATGCTTTAAATATTGCAGTTTCCAAACTGAGCAGGAGGTGTCTTGGAGTACTGCAGTACACTCACCAGGGTGCCTCGAAATGTCTTACGTTTTTAAGGGAAACACAGTGATACTTGGCATCTCTCAGGTACCTGGGTGTAGTTCACAGTTTTGAGACTATCTTTGGCTTGGTTCCTTTAGAAGACATGTGTCTTTGCAAAGCTGGGCAGAATGAAAATCAGTATGAAACAGGAAATGAGGGCGGCCATGTCCAATCTGATTCCAAGGCTTGGAAGTTCCCATTAGTAACTGATTTACTAAGAATGACACAAATATATGTATATGAGTTTCCTAATGTGTATTATATTTTAACTGACTGCTAAGTTTTTAGGACATAAATAGTTAAGGTTTTTGGACTTGACTACTTAAAAAACAGAATGGTCAGGTTTTTGTTTGGTTTGGTTTGGTTTTTGTTTTGGCTTAATGGCACCAGGGGGAAAATTACTGAGACACTAGAGTACAAAGATCTGAGAAAGTTTGGAAGTTTCTGTTCTAATATTTGTATGAATGTATAAATATGTGTCAATGTCAGAAATAAATGATGCTTTATGCAGTTGATTTTCTACATGTAGCATAAATAATGCTGGGAAAGATATGATACTAGGAGAGTATATGTAAATATGTGACTCAGAGCTAAAACACCCTCAGGAAGCAATCCAGATATTTGCTGATTAAAAAGAAAAGTCCCTAAATATAGATAAACTTCATAGGGCAGGAGTGAGATACAGAATATTGAAAGCTGGCCTTATTTTACTCCCCCCTGCCCCCCTGGCCCCCAGCTCCACCTGTTATATTGTGAGGCTTCCTCAGGCCAAAGACACTTTTCTTACCAATCCTTCATATGTTTTTAGATACTAACCCCGAAGAACTAGTTTATTTATATAAAGCAAAGGTATACATGTAAACATATATATATTTTAGGGTCCTTCAATTGCATGAAAAGTAAGCTCTTCTATCACTTTTGTTTTCGTAAATATAGTGCTTTGTAGCACATCAGAAAGTCAGCTGCTAGATGTTGTCAAAGGATTTTAGCTTTATATTTCATTGACCAGCATTTATAGATTTCATTGTTCCAGAACTTCTCTCTCATGGCTTATCCTGACTATGTGTGATGCTCCTTGAGGTAATTTCTTGGTACAGAAATAGCTGAATTGCCCACTTAAACTTATGCTTCAACCAATAGTCATAACTACTAAGAGGCTACAGCTACATTACCATGCTTGTTGATCTGACATAGACGTTGTTTTTCAGATGGCAGTTTCCATCATTTGGCACCACTATGCCTGCCAATTTGCTATCAAGAGCAAGATGAGATGTCTGATCAGTCATCACCAGCAGCAATCTTTTAGCTTCTTTTCGCCATCCAATATGACTCTTAAAAGAAACATGTAATTAGACCTTGTACAATTACATAGATTTGTACTGTGGTCTTTCTCTCAAGTAAACAATAAGATCACATGCACAGACATCAAGTCAGGTGGAAGGATGTTCATAAATACAATGCTGTCTCATAAATAGAATTAACTTTTATTTCCATATTCTCTATTTTATTACAGCCACTTGACCACAATAGCTCTTGGCTAGAGATTTCTGTGATCCCCAGTGAAGACAAGCCAGGTATAAGAAGTGCAGATCACCCAACGTGATGTGAGTAGGACAGCTGGTGCTTCCTGAGGGTGAGTGGAAAGTGCAACCCTTTTGGAAAGGATTTTCCAAGTACATAAGTTAGTCTTTCCCTTTTATCTTTTCCTATTTATAACCCACTCCAAATTTAGCTCCTCAGTCCTAAACATAGACCAAAATGAGTAACATTGCTGATGAATAAGAGATATAGGTATTCTTCTATGCTATGTTTTCAGTCCATAAATCAAAAAGAAAATGAAAATCCTAAATTCTTGGGGAGTTTTGCATTTGCACAAACACTCAACGGTGTGAAACTTCTTACCTCACAGACAGCTGCCTGAAGCATAGCATCAAAACCTCCTTCAGGTGTATCGATATTTCCAGAGATCTTCTGTCTATGTACCGCTTTTTCAAACTCAGTGATGTTCTCTGTCAAAGATAGTACATGGATGTATCCATGGGGAGGCATACAGTCTAAATTGTAGTCGCTGTGTGGGTAAAGAAGAAATGAAAATTCTATTTTGCTATGCTTCCTTCAAAGATCCAAAATATTACTCACAGTAAAATTATGTGGTTGGTGTGAGAAGGTAATAGTTGTTTTTTTGTTTGTTTTGCCAAGGAAATTTTATTAGATAAAAACTGTACTTTATAAAGTCAAAGGACAGTTCAATATCGGTATTTCTTTGCAAGTAGGAAATAGGAATATAATAACTTGGTGTTAAAAAAATAAAGAACATTAAACATATTTCTTATATAATACTAGTGGGCCAGTGCATGAATTCATGCACATTGAAAGGAGATTAATTAGAAGAAATATTTTAACATCGTGATTTGCCCTTTCTCTGTAATAGAATATATATAGAATAAACTTGCTTAATTAGATCTGCTTTCTGATGTAGCTAAACTTTTTCCAGCCCAGTAAAGCACCCCAACTTCATTTTCAGGTAATTGTCAGCAACACAGCAGTAAATATCAACACAAAGCAGATTATTATTGTAGATCATGCAGGGAGAGCAAAGGGTACAATATTTAACTGCAGTATTGTTTGACTATATTGTGCACAGTGAGAAAGTCTGAAATCATTTTCAAGGTCCACCAGTTCTGCCGTTTCTCTGTAAATGGCCAGTGCACGTCACAGCAGCTGGACTGTTGGACACTTAGTATATTAGCCTTTTATTTATATAGACTAGAGGCCCAGTGCATGAAATTCGTGCACGGGGGGTGGGGGATCCCTCAGCCTGGCCTGCGCCCTTGGGGGATGTCCAACTGCTGGTCCCCTGGTGGTCAGTGCATGTCATAGCAACTGGTTGTTCTGCATATTAGGGTTTTATTATATATGATAGGACACTTAAGGGACTTTATTATGCTAATATGCAGTGTTAATTTTGAAGAGGAGATAAAAATTTGTAGTGATTTCCTATCACATTTGACCATGGAACAACTGAAAAACACTTTTTAGGAAATGTTTTTTAGGATTTTAGTGAAAATACTATACTATTATTAGATTATTTTAAAACATTGTGCTATTTGTTAAATTGATGCTTGGTGTGCAATTATTGACTAACATTCAAAGTTCATTAAAATTGTTTTGAGCCCTAGCTGGTTTGGTTCAGTGGATAGAGCATTGGCTTGCGGACTGAAGGGTCCCGGGTTCGATTTTGGTCAAGGGCAATGCCTGAGTTGCGGCCTCAATCCCCAGTAGGGGGTGTGCAGGAGGCCAGCCGATCAATGATTCCCTCTCAGCATTGATGTTTCTCTCTCTCTCCCTCTTCTTTCCTCTCTAAAATCAATAAAAATATTTTAAAAAATTGTTTTGAGAATTTCATGGTGTTCCAAAAAGTGGGCGTCATTTCTCAGGTGCATCCCTGCAGGGAGAAATCTCAGGAACCCCCCTGCAGTGTTTCAGTCCTGGCTGCACTATAGCAGTGCTGTTTTGTTAATAAGTGTGTACTTACTATAAAGTGGCCTGGGCTATTTATGGAAGTAGGAAATAAGATGTTAAAATGAAATGTTTTATTAAGGAGGCACTAAACATTTATATTTCTCTCTAAAAACTCAACAGGCTAATTAGACTAATGTGAGAAACTTGTATTCTTAAGGTCAGTTTTGTTTTATAGTGGGGCATATGCTATTTAGAATTGGACTTTCAAAAGAAAAAGGGCTCTTTCTAGAATGCAAATTCTCATTTTATGACCTCCCCTCCATGTGTTAGCTGAATTTGCTTAGTAGTCACATCATAAGTAACAGCATAATCCATAGTCACAATACAGTAAGGGGAAATAGACGCAGTACTGATAACATAAGCAGTATAAATTCAACAAACCTTAATTCAACAAATTTGAAGCAATCAAAAAGGAGAAATACAGAATGTTTATAGAGGTATTTACATACATGGAAGCCTGATTATTGGGGGTTTGTCCAAAATTACTCATATTATTTGTGTTTTATGTGTGACAAAAAGTGAATGATATTTGAAAAAAATAAAAAATAAAAAGCCCAAGCAACAGATAATCTCGGAAGTTTTCAGATAGGAGTATACTTCCCCTCCAAATATTTTCACTTCTCTAATAAAACAAAAATATAAAATTTAGTAATTTCTTTATATAAAAACAGTGAGATTTAATACGAAGAAAATTTCATTCAGCATTATGATATCCACCTCAAACACTAAATACCTGCATTGATTGTGAATCCTTTCTGGCAACAGATAATCTCAGAAGTTTTCAGATAGGAATATACTTCCCCTCCAAATATTTTCACTTCTCTAATAAAACAAAAATATAAAATTTAGTAATTTCTTTATATAAAAACAGTGAGATTTAATACGAAGAAAATTTCATTCAGCATTATGATATCCACCTCAAACACTAAATACCTGCATTGATTGTGAATCCTTTCTGGGTGGATGCTAATGTATGGTGAAACTGTTTTATCAACGTATGAACCAAATCCAAGACGAAAGTCATGGGAGAAAAATGCCATTTTTCTAGATAAATCATTTCCAATGGAATTTAGTTTTTCAATATTATTGTGCATTGATGCTGAGACATCAACCAGATAATAAAGATCCACAGGATATTTCTTCAGAGGATGAATTTTCAGCATAAAATTAGCTTCAGCTCCTAGTTCAAAGAAAGACAAATATCATGTATTTATTTTAAATATCTCAGGATAAACTGTCAATAAGTCACATTTTAGATATAGAACAATAATAACCAATTTGTGCATAATTTATGAAACAGGAATATTCTGGAATAATTTTAAGGCAGTTTGAAAACCACACAAATGTGTGAGTTTCCAACTTTTACAATGCATTTCTCACAATTTTATAGGGCAGATAGAGATAATATCATCAAATGGACCAGCTCAATATAAATGCAGTAGGGAATGTATTTGTTACCATCTGAACCTATAGTTCTAGTATCTAGAACAGCACAGCACAAGACAGCAAGCAGCATTCCGTCTCAAGGGAGAGTAGGTGGCTATGTTCATGTAAAGGTTGCTTTCAGGTATACATTCATTCTTTCGGATTAAGGCATATTTATATATGAGATGTGAAACTCTGTTACTGAGCAGTATATTAAGCAATTCAAAACAATTAGTACATCATCAAAATTACTTGATATGATTCTTCTCAGCAATTAGTTGTGAGAAGGAATGAGAAAGTGGTCTAAAGAACAGTAGCCAGCAGTGCCACAGTGAGGACCATGTTGGGTTCTTTCTCAATAAACATGTTGCAGAGGGGTCATGGAGGCAAGGGAGCTGGGTGAGAAGAGGGTGACCACAAGGAGAGCAATGGGAGCCTCCCAGGGACAGCCCTGCAGAGTTGGTAGCTCTGTATTCTTTTTTAAGTAGATGGTGAAAACATCAATTTAAATACTTTGTGAATTTTACTTTTTTAAATAATAAAGCAAATGCTTTGTAAGTCATTAATTATTTGTCCATGGAGAATATTTTGAATGGAAATATTTTTTAAAAACACCAATTTGTATGCATAATTGGTAGTCTGATCTATCCATTAAAAGTATCCTCTAATCTAGCCAGTCATACCGGTATTTGCAGTCTTAATGTGCTTAACAGTAGCAGTATTTTCTCTTAAATTATTTCACAAATCAGAAGTTTTCCAGCCAGATTAAGGAATGCATTAAAAGTAATGTTTTTTTTTTCTGATACCTAATAATTATGGGAGAGAAGGACTATTCATTCATTCCTAATTTGCCAACATATGGATGAAACGCCTTTACTGTAACACTCCTAATTTTTTGGCCCAAGAGTTTGGGGGAGAAATTTGGCATGTGTCATCCAGCTCAGCCAACTCTCTCAGTCCTTACATTTAGGAGCTGGGCTGCCTTACATTTAAGAGCTGGGCTCAGCTTTCAGGTACCTGGTGTAAAAGCCTGACCATGTAGAAGTATCTGCAATTTGGGTAGAGCATTTTAATTGGGGAGAATGATAGAATTTGGCAGATAGGGTTGGATCGGTGAAAAACAGAAATGGAGTAGAACTGGGGAGTGTGGTTCATGAGGAGGACTTTGAACTTTAATGTGTGGGTCAGTATTAAAACATTTTTATTTTTATATTTTTACAAATTGCGTAGTTGCTTTTTAATCATTGACTTGGAGATACAGCTGAAGGCCTTAGGCACTGGCCACATGTTATTTTCATCTTGGTGGATCATTGCAGTTTATGGTGGCTCTGTCTAAAGATGAATGGCTGTCTGTTTTTTATAGTCATTGCAAAATAAACCAGTTAAGTGTATTGTGCAGGTTGTTATATTGTTGGTTATCTCAGCCAACAGGCAGAGTCTGTGAAGCATCAGCAAAACACAGTCCTTGGAGGCCTATTCAGGGAGCTCGAAGCAAATGCTAGTCACATAAGGGCCCTTAGCATATGCCAGTTGCTCATAGCCCAGTACACAAATCTTGGTCTCACTAGATGTTAGTAATTATTATCATTACTATTACTAGAGCAGCTTTAGGGTAAGAACTGTCTATCCATCTCTGAAGCCTCTAGGTTTTGTACATGCATAGCCACTTATAAATGTTCTTTAACTGGACAATATTTGAAGCACATTTACATATAGCCTTTTAAAAAGCCCACATATTTGTCACAGTAAGAAGCTAATACCTATGATTTCTTTCCCACAGTTTAGGGGTGTCTTCGTTTCTCTCTTTAAGAGGAAAAAGGATTCTCTAGCCCCAAAATGTTTATGCTACTACCATGTATATTATTATCTCCAGGAAAGCTTCATTCTCATATATTTTGAGATTCTAAAGGCTCAGATCCTTTAATAGAATGAGAAAGAGGACTTGGAGGAAAGTTGAGACCTACTTAGAGTTACTGCCAGTATTGGTTTGAATAGCCCAAAGAATTAATTAAAAGTTCTTAGCATGATTTTGAATCACTCAAATAATGGAGTGAGCATCTCTGAAGTACTGGCTACAACAAATATGACTGGGCATTAAGAAAAGATAATTTTAAAATGTTCTTCATAAGGTGAAATTGAAAAACCATAACAGAATATACAAAAGTTTAGCAGGAAGAAAGAGCAGCCAATTACTATTAATTATACTTGGGCAGGGGAAGGAGAAGGCCCAAGAATGAGACTGGTTTAAAATAGGAAAGCACAGACTCCAGCACAATTCTGAATTTTTGTGGTGGGTAAAATGGGGTATATGTGCAGGTGTGTGGGGGGAAAATGCATAATTTCTGCATTTTTATGGGTTTTAAATTATTGAATTTAGGAAGAATACCTGAGAAATCTTACATTTTAAATTAAGCTGCACTAATAGAGAACTTTTTTGTTTACAATATTAAAATGAATCAAGTTTGAAATATTTTTTAAATGAGTGAAGTATAGATTATACTAATCCTTATCATATATTCTAGAGGCCCGGTGCACGAAATTCATGCACTCAGGGCGGGGATGGGGTGGGAGGGTGTCCCTCAGCCCAGCCTGCACCCTCTCGCTGCCCGGGAGCCCTTGGGGGATGTCCAATTGCCGAACATCCTTAGTGCTACCACGGAGGCAGGAGAGGCTCCTGCCACCACCACTGAGCTCGCCAGCCATGAGCCTGGCTTCTGGCTGAGCGGTGTTCCCCCTATGGGAGCGCACTGACCACCAGGGAGCAGCTTCTGCATTGAGCGTCTGCCCCCTGGTGGCCAGTGCACATCATAACAACTGGTTGTTCCGCCATTCAGTCGATTTGCATATTAGCCTTTTTTATATAGGATTGTATTACTCTAAACCAAAATTAGAGAATTCTCTTCTCTTTCCTATTTTCCTAAAGATTTCATTTCAGTGTTCTGAGGGAACATCAACTAGGATCAGTGACCCATTTCTGTTATTACTTTTCCATAGGATTGACAGGTAAAAATAAGAAAAAAAAAGTATAGTTTAAGAAGTGAAAAATAAAATAAAATGTCATTTTAAAAGCTCATTTTAAATATTTATTATATATTATACATATTTTTATATAGTCCTAACATTCTTTTAAACATTTAGTAAGTATGTGGTGTTATAGAAATATTTATAAATTTTTAAAATTCTTAATAGATGTTATATTGAATGTCATGAATTTTTTATCAGTAAGCAATGAAATGATTATCTATAACCAAACCAAATAAATCACAACAATATTAGGGAATAGATACAGTTTACACTTACATCAAACCCTCACCTCTTTTTTTTTTTAATTAATTCTTACCCAAGGATATTTTCCATTGATTTTTAGAGAGAGTGGAAGGGAGTGGGAGAGACAGAGAGAGAAGCATTGATGTTGAGAGAGACATATCAATTGGTTGCCTCCCACACGCACCCAAACCAGAGCCGGGGTTTGATCCTGCAACCAAGGTACATGCCCTTGACCAGAATGAACCTGCGACCCTTCCTGGGCTGATGCTCCATCCACTGAGCCAAACCAGTTAGGGCAAACACTCAACTCATATGTATAATGATGGAATGGACTTTGACATTATGAAGAGTGATGTTTCTATATATCTGGAGTTTGTACAATATAGCCCTATATATTCTGCCCCAAAGCTGGGATGTCTTTGATGTCACAATGCATTGTTTAGATCAGCGGTTCTCAACCTGTGGGTCGCGACCCCTTTGGGGGTTGAACGACCCTTTCACAGGGGTCGCCTAAGACCACCGGCAAACACATAATTACATATTGTTTTTGTGATTAATCACTATGCTTTAATTATGTTTAATTTGTAACAATGAAAATACATCCTGCATATTAGATATTTACATTACGATTCATAACAGTAGCAAAATTACAGTTATGAAGTAGCAACGAAAATAATTTTATGGTTGGGGGTCACCACAACATGAGGAACTGTATTAAAGGGTCGCAGCATTAGGAAGGTTGAGAACCACTGGTTTAGATGAACTTAATAAACCTAATTTAATGACTCTTTGCTATATATGCAGATTATAAAATACTAGAGGCCCGATGCATGAAATTCGTGTAAGAGTAGGCCTTCCTTCCCCCTTCCCCCGGCTGCTGGCACCGGCTTCCCTTTGGCACCCAGGACATGGGCTTCCCTTGCAGCCTTGGCTTCATCTAAAAGGTCGTCCAGAAGGACGTCCGGTCTAATTAGCATATTATGCTTTTATTATTATAGTTATGTCATAGCTATGTTGGAAAGATGACTTACACACATTAGACAGTTTTATTAATTTTCAAACATAAATTCAAATAGTAGAGGGAATGTGAGTAAAATCAAGCCCATAATAACTGACATAGACATCAAAACATTTCTCTTTTCACTCTTCTACTACCAATGATCGCATGCATACTGCCTTCACTTATCATCTCATGCTGACATCTCCCATGTCTCTATCTCCAGTCTGTATCTCTCCCCTGAACTTCAGCCTCATACAGATAAGTCACTACCTCAACCCAAGTAGTCCCAATTTGAACTCATTACCACCCCCTCTACAGAGGGCAACCCTCCCCTTCTCACCTAGATGCTTGAACCTGAGCCCACTTGTGCCCACACTCATCATCAATCACAAACCTCTGAGGATGCTACCTCCCCATTATCTCCCAAGTCTGTCAATCTTTCTCCTGCCTCAATACCATTATACCATTATTATCATTATCATTACTATCATTGTGGAAATAGCAGTGAAATAATTTTTCAACTTTTGAACTGTTAATTAATTTATAGTCTTGGGAGGATTCAATCACCATTATATATAAAAAAGGGGCCAAGCTAAAGTCATTGATGTGTATAAATTTAAATGTAACAAACCAGTAGAAAAAAAATGCACCTTGTAATTTCAAATCTTCAAATATTTTTTAAAAAGACAGTTTTAAAGGACATAGTCATATTAATTAGAGGTAAATTATATATACACTTCATGTGTACTTTTATATCTTCATTAGGTTTTTTAGGGTTTCCTTGTTTCTTGAGTCAATTTTTAATCACATATTTTCTACAAAATTATATTATCAAGATTTATACATTTTACCATGGATTTTTGTGTTTAACATTTTCTTAAAGTCTTTTTTCCCATTATTTGTTTCTCTAGTTATAGTCTATATAATTAGGTTATTTGCTTTTTTGTTCTTTTTCTTAATTAGATTTGCCAACAATTTATCTATTTGATTAGGTTTTATAAAGAATTTGCTCTTGGATTTATACATTCATTTTCCTTTTTTATTTCTATTTTACATTTCATTAATTTTGTTTTATTCTTAAATTATGAATTCCTTCGTCTTATTTTCCTTATGGTGATTTTGTTTTTGTTGTTCCTATACCTTTACTTGGATACTTAGTTATTTTTTTCATTCTTCTTCTTTTTTTTTTTTTTAAATTTCTTTTTTTAATTGATTTTTTTATAGAGAGGAAGGGAAAGAGATAGAGAGTTAGAAACATCGATGAGAGAGAAACATCGATCAGCTGCCTCCTGCACATCTCCTACTGGGGATGTGCCTGCAACCCAGGTACATGCCCTTGACCGGAATCGAACCTGGGACCTTTCAGTCCGCAGGCCGACGCTCTATCCACCGAGCCAAACCGGTTTCAGCTCTTCTTTAATAAAAAAAGCATTTAAAATTTTGAATTTTCCTGAGAACAGTTTCAATCCCATACCATATATCTTGATGGTTTTTGCTGTTATTATTATTATTAGTCTATGACTACAGTTGTTATTTATACTTGGTGATAGAATTTATTTAGAAGTTTTTATGAGTTTCTCTGTTATTTAATACTAGAGGCCTGGTGCACAAAAATTTGTGCACTCAGGGAGGTTGTCCCTCAGCCCGTCCTGTGCCCTCTCTTAGTCTGGGACCCCTCGGGGGTGACCACTTGCTGGCTTAGGCCTGCTCCCCGGGGGATTGGGCCAGGATGGCAATCAGACATCCCTTTGGCAGCCCGGCAGCCCTCGGGGGATGTCCACTTGCCAGCGGGGAGCAGGCCTAAGCTGCAGTCGAACATCCTTAGCGCTGCTGAGGAGGCAGGAGAGGCTCCCACCACCACTGCTGTACTGGCAGCCATCAGCCTGGCTTGTGGCTGAGCAGAGCTCCTCCATGTGAGATCGCACTGACCACCAGAGGGCAGCTCCTGCATTGAGCGTCTGCCCCCTGGTGGTCAGTGTGTGTCATAGTGACCAGTCATTCCCAGTCGTTCTGCTGTTAGGGTCAGTTTGCATATTACCCTTTTACTATATAG